TTTCTTAGCAGTGCCCATGTCCTTCATCTCGAACTCTTTACCAAGTTGAGATTTTAACCTATCAATCTCCACCCTGCTCTTCGAAGCAATAAGCATGTCATCCACATACAAAAGAAGATAGATATAATCACCTCCATGAAGCTTTCGAATGTAAACACAACAATCATAGTCACTTTGGGAAAATCCATGCTTCAGCATGAAGAAGTCTAATCACTTGTACCACTGCTGAGGAGATTGCTTTAGTCCATAGAGTAACTTTCTCAAGCGACATACATGATGCTCCTTATCCTCAACCTTGTAGCCCTCAGGTTGATGCATATAGATCTCTTCATCTAAGTCTCCGTGCAAGAAGGTCGTTTTAACATCGAGTTATTCCAGCTCAAGATCACCATGAGCAGCAATACTCAATATCACCCGAATAGAAGTATGTTTCACCATCGGAGAAAAGATCTCATTGTAATCAACACCCTCTCTTTGTGCAAACCCTTTAGCCACTAGCCTCGCCTTGTACCTTGTACCACCGAGCTCTGAAGGATCTTCCTTTCTCTTATACACCAACTTACAACCAATAGTTTTTCTTCCTACGGGCAATGGGACCACCTCTCATGTTTGGTTCTTCCGAAGAGATTCCATCTTCTCCTCCATCGCAGCTAACCAACTCTCACTATCCTTGTCCCGAATAGCTGTTTTGAAGGAGACCGGCTCATCTTCCTCCACCAAGAGTGCGTATTCCACCAAATTAACCTGCCCATAGTGCTTCAGGGGTTGATCAGCCCCTAGCTTCAGTACCTGCTTGTATGCTAAATTGTCTTCTTGGCCCTCGCGTCAAGCTTTCCCTTGTTGACGTGATAGTAGGCGGTACATCCGAAAATTCTGAGCCTCTCATAATCTGTATTTTCCCCTGACCACACCCTATAGGGTGTATCACCATCTAGTGTAGAATATGGAGAACGATTCACAATGTAACATGTTGTAGCCATCACTTCTACCTACCATTCGTTGCCCAATCCAGCATAAGATCACATACTCATTGCCTTCTCCTGCAATGTTCGGTCCAGTCTCTCCGCGACCCTGTTCTGCTGTGGTGTTGACCTGACGGTCCAGTGTCGAACAATACTCTCCTGATCACAGAACTTCTTGAAAGCAACATCTGTATACTCTGTACTGTTGTCAGATCTCAGTGTTTTCAATTTCTTACCTGTCATGTTCTCAACCATAGCTTTCCACTTCTTAAATGTCTCGAATACCTCATTCTTATGCTTAAGAAAAAAAATCCAAGCATACATCGAATGATCATCTATGAACGAGACAAAATACCTGGAACCACTCTTGGAAGTTGTCTGAGCCGGACCCCAAACATCCGTGTACACATAATCTGGTATACCTCTACTCTTGTGATTGCTTTTCAAGAACTGGACCCTGTGTGCTTTTCCATACACACAATCCTCACAAAAATCCATGCAAGATTTCTTTAGATTCTTCAGCAAACCCTCTTTACCAAGCAGATCTAGACCCTTCTCTGACATGTGTCCAAGCCGCATATGCCATAACCGTGTGTGCTCACATGGGTCTCCACCACTTCCTTCAGTTCCGACCGCTGCATCTCCTGTCACTGCATACCCGAGAGAGTATATAGATTACCGTGACAAACATCCTTCATCACTGTTAGGGAACCTTGAACAACTTTCTTCACTCCGTTCTCAGTAACAATCTTACAGCCATCGGAGTCCAAAGCACCAACTGAGATAAGATTCTTTCGCAAGTCGGGAACGTGCCACACGTCCGTTAGGGTTCTGACCTCTCCATCATGCATCTTGATTTTTATATCACCGAGCCCCGCCATTTTACAAGCATTGTTATTCCCCATCAATACGGTTCCACCATTAATGCTTCTATAGGTAGTAAACATCTTCCTATTTGGACACATTTTGGTAAGAGCAACCTGAATCAAGTATCCACTTACCGGAGATATCTTCGCCACCCGTAACAACATAGCATTATTTATCGCTCCCTTCCTCTGAAGCATAGCTCACTTCTTCCTTGTCTTCTCTCCTCTCAGTCTTGTTGTTGTTGTTCTTCCAACCTACTCTCTTGTTTGGATAGTCGACCTTGAAATGCCCAACTTTACCGCATTTGAAGCACGCTCTTATTTAGATCTAGACTTTCCTCCCTTGCATTTTCCTCGCTCATTGCTCCTTCCTCTAGCAAACAATCCCTACACTTGTTCTTTGTTACCACCAGTAGTCATGTCACTGGTTGTAATCTTTCGAAGGTCATTTGCTAGAAGCGCCGTTCTAGTCTCATCCATCGTCAAATTGTATCCCACAAGTATCAGTGTTTGCACCAGGTTCTCATAAGCCTTCGGTAGAAATAAAAGTAGTAGAAGCGCTTGATCCTCGTCTTCTACAGTCACATTGATGTCCTTCAAATCTGATATTATCCTATCGAACTTGTTGATGTATTCCCGGATTGATGAGTCCACCTCCATCTTGCAAGTTTACAATTTGGATTTTAAATAGATCTGGTTCGTTAGACTCTTCGTCATGAAGGTGCTTTCTAACTTCGACCATACGCCCGCAGCCGTTTCCTCTCCATCTACCAAGAAAGCTACATCTCTTTCAAGGTAAAGGATAATCGACGCCCGTGCTTCTAGATCCAGCTCCTCCCAATCCTCATGAGACATATCCTTGTGCTTATTCTCTTTTCCTGTCAAAGCTTTGTGCAATTTCTGCGAAATCAACGAGTTCTTCATCTGCATCCTCCAATAAGAAAAATCATTCTTCCCATTGAATTTTTCAATCTCGTACTTTCTCACTTTAACTGTTTTACTTGTTGACATCATTCTCCGCTTGTATTAATAAATCTGCTTCTCTCGGGAATTCCAACAAATATCTTGTGTTCACTACACAAAATCACGCACCACCTCAGATCAGAAATTCTACCACCTCCAATCTGAATAAAGAGTTCTGATACCAATTGTTGGGAGCAGAGTCATGCCCACCGTCGCGGAATTGATATCACCTGAGAGATAGGCCTGCCTTTTGTTGTCACAAAAGCACAAGTCAACCTCTATATTCCCGTTTCTCAAAGGAAACTAGAATAGATAGTGAAATTCTTGTTTTTCAAAGGAAACTAGAATAGAAAGTGAAATATTTCAATAAAGTGAAATATGCACTCTTCCTCTCATCAGTTCTAGGACTAAAATGTCGAGGGAACCTACAAGCAATAGACAACACCCAGAAAACAATAAAGACACGAGATTTACGTGGTTCAGCAAAATTGCCTACGTCCACGGGAGGGGGGAGGGGAGATTCCACTATGAGAAGAACACCGACGACTTGTACAATCCACAAGCTCGTTTCAAAGAAAAGAGATCTGATTTTTACCCAAAAGAAATTAACCTCTTTTTTGTAGAATCTCTCTTTTTCTCTCCTCAAAATCTCTCTGCTTATCTCTCAAAAACAGCCGAAAAAACTCTCAACAGCAGCCGCAAGATTTTTTTTTTCTCTGCGTTTTTGTTCCCCACTAAACGAAACCCTAGAGATCAACATATATTTATACCACTGGAACTTGAAACGTGGTGGGTGGGCATTCTCTTCATGGGCCTAACCGGGTCCGTTCACAATTCTTCACCTCGTACATCATTTGATAAACCTCAAATTTTGGACGAACACCAGAAGAACATCGAGAACATCACAAGAGATATCTGAAACACCAAACCAGGCCAAAACCAGCTGCGTCACTTTACAGCGGCTGCCTACGTACCCTCCACTAGGATCAAGCTAACCGTAGTTCAGGTATTGTTCTCCATCATAGTCTCCATCTTACCCCATCACCGCTCCGAAGGGTCATGCCCTCTTGGGAAGATCAACACGGGCTGATATGAAGCAAGTCCAATCAATTCTTAAACTTGCTACATGTGACCACATTGGTCAACATGTCTGCTGTATTCACATTCGTGTGCACCTTCATGAGAGAAATATCACCTTCCTCTATGATATCCCGCACAAAATGATACTAACATCGATATGCTTGGTACGAGCATGACGAACTTGATTCTTCGCCAAGTGAAATCGCACTCCGACTGTCGCACCACAAGTTTATAGCAATCATTTTACGGTCTATATGATAACTGTTAATATATGTATAGCGACTAATTTTTAGGGTAAACAGTTCCCTATAGAATGTAGTAAACCAAATTATCATCCTGTGAACAGGTTTGCGATGAAGGAAAGAGGAAATACGCACGGTACTGAATCGAGGAACAGGAAAAGGGAATCAACCGGCAATCCTTACAGAAGCGAAGGGGGGGCAGCGTAGACTAGTGTGGAGTACGCGGCGAGCTTGTTGGCGTCGACATGTCTGAAGAGCGTGATGAATGGATGAGTCAGCGTAGATTCAGAATATATGATTATTTACTTCGCAAACGCAAGCTTGGATGATCACATAATCATATCAAGGGTGTTGTTCATTGTTTTCATGGGAGAGATGGATTAAAAATCCTCTGGATCGATCCGTAGGAATTCAAGTCCTCGCTTTTTTTTTCTTTCCTTCGTCGTAAAATTCTTGTCGAGAAATACCTTTGATTATGCTTCAAATAAAACTTAATCTCACCCTCATAAAAATCTCTCGAGAAAAGGTAATTCATGCAAACTGATTTAGACTTAAGAGGATCGAGAGCAAATCTCTGGATGATAAGATTCAATGGATTAAGAATCTCCACTTTGATTGCCAGATTCAAAATATTGGTGATTAAGACACAATTTTACTGCAAAAAACGGATTTGTTTGCAATTTCTAATTTTCTTTTCTCAAAACTATCATTCACGGAAATATTTAGTGTAATTTGATCCATTATGTCATCTAACGAAAACAATATATGCCTGAGCTACAAATTCATCAATAGACAACTACACTGTCATCCTCACTAAAGGTAAGCAACTAATAAGTCTACTGAGAGGAAGTACTCGTTATCCAAATAAAAACCATGCAAATGAGCCATTACTAAATTTGGTTTTAAATTCAAATAAATCGACTAAACAAGCGACAAGTTCCTCTAAATGTCACTAACCTGAAAATGTATGTACACATTCGATAAATACACTAAAGCATGTCCACTACTCATTAGATATGTATCAATTTCAGTATGTTCAAGATCGCAGACCTTTAAGAAACAAAAAACCGAGGGTTATATATTTTAGAATCATCTGAAATTTTGAATGGGAACTCGAAAGTATCAACTTGTATCTTATTCTATTCTTTGATGGAAAGTGTCAAGAACATAACGGTTAAGCTGTTCACCGAATATCTTGATAGAGAATTTCTCAGTGACATGTCGATGTGCCTCTTTACCCAACTTTATAGCCATTTCAGGAGTGGCCATAAGTTTAGCCATATGCTTCGAGAATTCTAGAGGAGTTGGATCACAGAGAAATCCTGTAGTTTCATGTATAATCGTCTCAACTGGGCCTCCACTGTTGCAAGCAATAACAGGTTTTTGTGCTGCCATTGCTTCTAGAGGAACAATGCCAAAGTGTTCATCCTGCAGAGATCAAACAAGAAGTTATGCGTCCGAATCCAAAGCTTCAGCCGATTTATACTTTATAAATTTGTATTAAAGAGGGGTTATTCAGATGTTTCGTTTTATGAGGATCAAGGAGTGGGAAAAGATAATATCATGGAGGGACAACTAATTTACATCTATCGCATCTGGATTTTTTTTCCTTTTGATTCAGGTGGACTGTATTTTGGCTCATGCTTATATCTTTTGGAGGAAATCATTGCTGACTCTATATTTTGCTTATTTCTGGTCATTTGCGTAGTTTTATTGCCTGGTATGTTTTCTCTATCTTCAGTTTGGCGTATTTTTGTTGTTATTGGGATATTTCATTGAACTCTTATCAACAACACAACCAGGAGGAAAAGTATTTTTTAAAAATTTATAATGGACTCTGCTTACCGTTGGGGTATATAAAACACAGAGACATTCAGAGAGCAGAGCATTTCTTTCTGCAGTTGAGCAGGATGTAACAAACCTAACACGATCAGAAACTCCTTCAGTTTCAGCCAACTCTTTAAGTTCCTCTAGATACTCGACATTTTCCTTCAGACGTTTGTCAAAGCCACCTGAAAAACAAAACCATCGTAAGCAAAATGAATGCAGTAAACTGGTAAACTACAAGAGTAATGTTTATTTTAGTTCGTGATGGTCCTCCTCATAGAATGACCTTCCGCAGACAAATGTCAAGTAAATGTAAATGTGAATGAGCATAAATGAAAAGACAAGCTATCATATATGATAACAAAAGAAAATATAATCAAATTCATAATGCAACAGTTACATTTATGGACGATCAAAGTAGACCCGTAAATCAAAAAAAGTCACCAAGCTAAGCTTCCCGCCATTTTATTAAAAAATATAAGACAGTGATGCAACAAAGAGAAAACAATAAACATTGGTAGCAATCACCTGCTATTGTCAAGGTAGCTTCAGAAAAGCTTTTGTCAGGAAGAGTACTCCCCAAGGAACGGAGCAATGCAAATGCCGAAATTGCCAGTTGAAGATTCTTCTTTCTTTCAAATCGATTAACAGAAAGGAAATTCAACCTGAAATTTAAAAAACAAAAGAAAATTGAGTAACAAGAGAAGAGGTTACCAAGTAGCAACATCTATTTGATCTGTAGTTACTTATAATAAGGTATATACAAGCATGTCAGTTACTTATAAGCACAAGGTCCATCAAATTGGTCCATGTTGACTGCAGGGTAAAGAATAGCAGGCCTGACTCCTCTTGAATGAAGACATGAGAATGTCTTTGCAAATGTAGATGCGGTGAATCCGCTGTTAACAAGTACTAAATCTGCCATACCTGCAAATATCATTATCATTTAGTCTAGGCACTAGATAAGCATGTGCAATAAAGAGAAAAGACCAGTTCAATACATGTTAAGAAAAAAGAGTAGATATTATCAAAAAATGAAAAGAAAAAGGAATGCATATGAGACAGACCAGTAGTTGCCTCTTCGAGCAAGTCGATTGGTTTCCGGTACAACCTCCTGGCAGTAGTTGTATGTTGTGCAAGTAACAAATCCGGAAAATGACAGTAGAAAATTATCTGGCAACAAAAAAAAATATTAACATGTTTATCATAGTTCAGATATATCTCCATCAAAACAGTGTTTTGGTTACAATGGTAACAACATTAATGGCTACATTGGCTCTAAAACAAAAGGAAAAGAAACACAAAAGGCAGGGGACATCAATTGTTCAGTATTATGCATGAAGAAAAGAATGCTTGCCGAAGAGATTACCTTCGTTGATCTTTTGAATTTCATGAGGGGAACGATTACAGAGACCTGGTCTGCCAATACAATGTCGAATGATGACCAGAAGAGAAGCACACAAATGGCAACAAAGATACATCGAAGATATGCACACACTGCATGGAAGCGGTAGAAAATATGGCGAGGCAAGAAATCGCCGTATACAGTAACAGGAAAAGGACCTGAACAACAGGCAGAAAACAATTACTGTCGCTTACCTATATCATACTACTGCTTACCTATATCATACAACTGCAAAGATAAGCTATAAAATTCTGAAATTTGTGAAAAATCATCAACAATCCAGAAATACTATAAAACTGACGAGAACACTAATAAATATTGATTTTAGATATGCTGCATGCATCTTGTATTATCTGATTCCAGAAATACTAAAAAGCCGAAGAATCGGCTATTAAAGATTTTATTCCTCAAGGTCCACAAGATTCTCACCAGCAACTGTTTCCTCGAAACAACGGTTTCTTTCATGATGGGCTGTGAAAACATGAACACTGTGGCCATGTTCCGCAAGTTCAACTGCCGCATCCACGATCAATCTTTCAGCTCCACCTGCATTAAACTAACAGGAGTTCTTACACTGGGCAAGGAGCATCGCCATATAATGACTATCATATGCACATAACAATGTAAGCACATGAAGAATCTGTCCTATTATGCCCAAACTAGTTGTGAACAATATCAATTTTTTTCCGGTAAAGTAATCCCTATTTAAAAAAATTGGCTTGCTGCAGTTCCGCATTTGCTACATATTTTTTAAAAATGCTACAGTATTCCCATGTGCTACACTGTTTTCATCACTAATGCTACGATAAATATTACTATAGCATAAATAGTTAATCTCGGGTTCTCCTATTTGTACAAAGGAGTAGATGAATAACGGGCTTCACTCTTAAAGTTTTCGAGGGAAAACATTAACTGCCATATTGATGTGATTTATTATATATACATACATTGTCTAAAAAAATCCCCTTTCTACCCTTCATATTTTGACAGTAGCAAGCCCCTGATATTAATAAATTTAATTAATAAAAAAAATAAAAAGAAACACAGAAGAGAAGAACGCAAACCAATTCCAAGGTCAGGATGGATGACGGCGATCTTTAGCTTCCGGCCTCCATCTGTCTCCATTTTTTGTAAGGATTTCTACCGAAAAAATTAAAATTAAAACGCCTGAATAAAAAATGGAGAAATTTCTTTTTAAAAAAAATCAAAATAAGATCATAGATATAACTCGATCTGAACCAAAATCCTTTGGAACCAATAAAAAAGATTCTCAGCTAATAAGCAATTCATATTCAGTGAACTGATACAATCAGAAACCCTAAACCAAGAAATCGAAGCAGCAACTGGATCCCTTTGCTCGAATCCTTCGCTAAAAAAAAAAATTGCAAGAAATTAGGAGAAATAGACGGCAGTAGTACCTGACGATGAGAGAGATCGGCGGCTCGAGAGTAATGCTTGTAATATGTTGTTTGGGAGATGAATGAAGGTGAAAATTTAACTTGTTTCGGAGTACTAATTGAGGGAAGGGAAGAAAAGAAAATATATGTAAATTTACCCAAATAAACTTTGCATGATATCAAAATATTTTACCAAATAATGAATGATAAAAAAGAAAATAAAAGCTCGTGAAATTTATAAACACAAAGGGACAGTGCTTTGTTCTTTTTAAACTTTGCATATCATACATATCATATTTTTTTCCTTTAAAAGCACGGAAAATCTTTCTATGGTCAGTATTATCTTTAACATTTTTTGAATATTACATTGTTATCCTAATCAATTCTAATTTTAATTATATTTTATCTAATTCCACGTGAACTATCTCTAGGCCAACAATTTAAAAAAAAAAGTTATTTTGAATATTTCACTTAAATCTTAATCTATCCGAATACTAATTATGTTCTATATTAACTCCATATGAACTACCTATAACTCAAAAATATAGAAAAAATAAGATTAAGAAATTATACGTAGATAACATATTATAATACATAAAATATTATAAAAAACCCAAAAGTTTCAAAAATTGCATATAATAGCCTTAAAAGTTTAAAATTACACAAAACACCTTGACTTTTTAAAACTTAAAAACAAACATGATATCTAAAAATTTAAAACTTATAATTAAAACCCTCAATATTTTTAAAATTGTAGAAACAATCTCAAAAGTTTAAAGGCTAAATTATATTTATATACCCTATGTGTTTCACTTTTGAAACAGTTATATACCCTAAGTTACAAAATATAGCAAAAAAATACCCTGAGTTAGTAAAAATTTACAAGTTGGTACCTTCTGTTAACCAGCTGTGAGAATATTATCTAGAATATTCCCACGTGCTCGACCTATGACCAACTTGAATACTTCTTACCCTCATTTATTGTATTATTTACTGTATTACCTACCCCCCCCACCCTTCCCCAAAATTAGATTATTTTCATCATCTTCTTCTTCTTTTCATGACCTCCAACTTCTTCTTCCTCTTTAATATGGGCAACAATAGAAAATAAGAGCTTTCACTATGTTTGGCGGGGGGTTAATTCTTAAGGAGGGGTATTATTGTTCTTTCATATATTTTTTAACATTGTTAGCTAAATTTAAACAGTTACCAACTCAGGTTATTTTTTGCTATGTTTTGTAACTTAGGGTATATTGTTGGGTCCTTTTGTTTTGATGATGATTTACAAACAATTTACATCTAATATTATTTGTCTAGTGTTTGTGTTTTATATTTATTCTAGGCAAACAATATGTTGGAGGATGGATGGAATCGAGCATTCACGATCATATCTAATGGAGGTTGGTGGAATTGTGGTATGAAGCTATGCAATTCAAGTTGAAGATCCAAGTTCAAGCTTCATCCGTAAATGTACCAAGTCAAGCTTATTGAAGACCTATAGCTTAAGTAATTTAGTTTAGGAGTTTATATTATGTGTGTTAAGTACTTTAAGCTCAATCATATATACACACACATTTTATTGGTTTCTTTGTATATATATATATGTAGTTGTATACATATACAACACAAGTTTTGGTTTATATATATATACATAGTTATATATATATACACACACCTTAATTTTGTTTTTGTATATATATAGTTATATATATACATACATATTTTGGTTTTATAGTTTTCAAGTTTTAATATGAAACAAATGAATACAATTGAAAATACATTTCTTGTTTCATACTTATATGCATATATATGATTTCATCAATATCAATTTTATTTAGTTCAATGAAATCATATTTATTATTTTTTCTCAGTTTTTGGACTTAACAATAATCATATACATCTTTTATTAAGTCTACAAAATTATTTTGTAATGTTTCAAAATATGGTTAAGCTAAAATGTCAAAACTCATATGTTTACATTTTCATGTTTTGGACTATTTTGTAAAATAATGATATTTCTCATTTGGGAGGTCCTTTTTGAAAACCAATTTTTGTAGCATGTGTATTATCATGTCTATAATCATTTCCTAAAGTTTTATAATTTTTGAAATTTATTTGATATTTTTAAACAGGGTTTCAAAATCAGAAAACTGCTCCAAAACCTGTTAAATCCATGTATTTGTTTGCGGTCGACCGCCACGGTCGACCGCCCTTGAGTCCAGAGACTCAGCATTAACCGAATTAAGTCCAGAGAGTTTTGCGGTCGACCGCCACGGTCGACCGGATGTATTCCTGAACCCAGAATTTACCTCTGATCTGCTCACGGTCGACCGCGCGTTTTTCACGGTCGACCGCCGATCGCCCAACTGCTCTATTTGTACAGAATCTGATTTCTGATTCTGTGGGCTTTTTGGTCTTTTGTCTTGGGGATTTGGCTGTTGGTTTTTCTTCCTATATAAACCCTCAAACCCCTCTCTACCAGAACATCTAATGGAATGTTTTAAACAAGTTTAAAAGAGTTTTTAACAAGGGTTTAAGTTTGGTTTAAAGTTTGTTTGGTTTATGAAGATTGTTTTTGTTTGTTGGAAAATTTGTGAAATGAAAATGATGAAAGAATTGTGTTTGATTTTATTCTCTCTAACTGCTTAGAAAAAGAATGTTTACAATTCCCTCAACTCTCAATTACAATCGAATTCCTGATTACAAAAGAGAGGAGAATGATCTGGATTCTCCCCTTTGTTTAATTCTGGGTTCTTCACGGTGGCGATGGAGTGCCTCATTCGAATGCTCGCATCGAATTTGCTCTCCGTTGACGATCCGCACGTCTTGTTTCACTGGAATGTGGTCTTCTCCTCACGATTTGATGTTGTGGAGAACTTACGTGGCAAGTTTGAAAATAACTCTTAACGAGTTAATAACTCAGAACGAGTTTTAGAAGAACTTGCAGAGCAAGTTTGAACTCTGATCGAGTTGATAACTCTGAACGAGTTAGAAACTCTATGAAAGAGTTGATCTAACCGAAATCGGTTTATAAGCCAAGGATGAAAGCTCTCTGTTGTTGAACGTTGTTGAAGGATGAACGTCGATCTTCACCTCGCTGCCAAGCCGAAGATCTCCTCTTCGCTGCCAAGTCTAAGATCCAAAAGTCAGCCCCCACTCAATTAAGTTTCCCACTATTTATAGGGGATTTAGGGGTGTAACCGCCCCCTTAAATCTCTCCTTAATGAGGGTTTAATGGGGTGTAACTGTCCCCTATAAATCTCTCCATGATAGGGTAGTGATCCCCTCAAATCGTGAGGAGAAAACGGTTCTGGAACCGTTCAAATCGTGCTTGAACGAGTCAAACGTTGATAACATCATTCTGGGCCCGAACTCTGCGTTTTAGACCTGAAACGTAGAGTTGGGCCTATTTTAGACTAAAAACGCACAGGTCGCGCTGCGAAGAGATGAACTCTGGGTTTTGGACCTGGGACGTAGAGTTGGGTTCTGCATGAACTGTGCGTTTTTTGGACCTAAGACGCAGAGTTGGGCTCCGCATGAACTGTGCGTTTTTGAACCTGGAACGCAGAGTTGGGCTCCGCATGAACTGTGCGTTTTTGGACCTGGGACGCATAGTTGGGCTTCGCATGAACTGTGCGTTTTTGGACCTGGGACGTAGAGTTGGGCTCCGCATGAACTGTACGTTTTTGGACCTGGGACGCAGAGTTGGGCTCCGCATGAACTCTGCGTTTTAAGTCCACGAACTCTGCGTTTTGACTTTGTAATGCAGAGGCGAAACTTAGGCGGGCTTGGCGAGTTTCAGACTAAGTCCAATGTTCTGACGAAGTCCAGTCTTGCAGACGGACTTCAGAACATAACTTGCTGCGAAGAACAGGTCATAACTTTGAAACCGTAAGTCGGAATTAGACGAATTATATATGAAAATCGGCTATCTCGATGAGGCGGAGCTGACCAAACCTACCCCATAGGGTTCGGTTTGCTCCGTCAGTTTTGCCAAATTCCTTACGGTTTGAGAGATATCTACGTTTTGATTTGAAGAGACCGTCGATTTGTAGTCTCTTTTGCTAGAGCGTTGCAAAGATCGTCATCTTGTAATCTTCGTCTTGACTCCTTGAAAATGTGAGAGTCATCAGATTGTAACTCCCGATGTTGATTATGAAGGCTGTTGATTAGAGCTTTCATCAGTTGTTACGAAGGTCGTCAGATTGTAACCTTCATCGATCCACGTGAAAGTCTTCAAATTATAGTCTTCCGAAAGCCGTCCAATTATAACTTCTATCATTGGTATTTGATGGGAATCAGCTATCTGCAGTGATTTTTAGATAGCCTATAGTTTTACAAGTGGAGGAAATCATCTACATTGATTGAGCTTCATCTTAATCCATCTCTCTATCTTGTTTTTTAGAGAAGAATTTCTAAACTCATATCTAGCTTTACATTTACATATTTGTTTGATTATCATTCTTTAAAGCTAGTTTTCATATTGAGTTTAGATTTGATAAATCTTATTATTGCACACACCCACATTGAGCTTATTGTATTTTCATACATAGTATATTTGGGTTGGTGAGAGTTGTAACATTGAGTGTGAGCCTATATTGAGTTCTCATCTATTGTAGAGAACAAATCATTTGTTATATTATGAGATTGTAAAGTTTTCGATTAGCTAGAAAACCGAGTGTAAAGTGGAGATCTCCTCGAGGTGAGGTGCGGAGACGTAGGTCGTGGGGACCGAACTCTAAAAATAAAATTGTGAGGTGTAAACGTTATTCGGGTGATCGTAGAAAACCCGATTGTGATAGTGTATTTCTCCCCGGGAGTGATGAGCGGAGACGTAGGATGGAAGGTCCGAACTCCGTGATCATTTCGTGTGTTTGAGTTTGCTTTGGCGAACTTCTCTTATGTTTATGTTTCTTGTCGTCATTGTCCATTGCTCATTATTTATATTATCCACTATCTTATTTATTTTATTTACCATTGTGTATATCACTTATCCTAGCTCACATATCTTGTTGTATTTTATACTTGCTAGGATAACTTATTAATTAGTTTTAATTGGCATAAAATCGGATTAGATTAGTATAAGACCCTAATCACCCCCCTCTAGGGTCTAACATATATAACTACTACAAGAGCAAAACAATAAGGTATATAAATGCCATTTAGCCATGTTTAAATTATAAAGAAACATTCTAAAATTCAGAAATTTTAA